TCGATTTTTTTCCAAGGGGATCCCCTGCAAAATTGTGGGTTTTCCTAATTTTCGCACTTTTGCTCCTTCTGATGGCCATAGCTCTGCCAATTTGTATCCGATCAGGAAATAAAGCACCATTTAGTAAACAGCGAACTTAAAAGCAACTTTCCTCATTCAAAACATTGCTGAAAAGTCGTTTTCTAATTTTTCGATTTTTTTCCAAGGGGATCCCCTGCAAAATTGTGGGTTTTCCTAATTTTCGCACTTTTGCTCCTTCTGATGGCCATAGCTCTGCCAATTTGTATCCGATCAGGGAATAAAGTACCATTTAGTAATCAGCGAACTTAAAAGCAACTTTCCTCATTCAAAACATTGCTGAAATGTCGTTTTCTAATTTTTCGATTTTTTTCCAAGGGGATCCCCTGCAAAATTGTGGGTTTTCCTAATTTTCGCACTTTTGCTCCTTCTGATGGCCATAGCTCTGCCAATTTGTATCCGATCAGGGAATAAAGTACCATTTAGTAATCAGCGAACCCGAAAGCGACTTTCCTCATTCAAAACATTGCTGAAATGTCGTTTTCTAATTTTTCGATTTTTTCCAAGGGGATCCCCTGCAAAATTGTGGGTTTTCCTAATTTTCGCACTTTTGCTCCTTCTGATGGCCATAGCTCTGCCAATTTGTATCCGATCAGGAAATAAAGCACCATTTAGTAAACAGCGAACTTAAAAGCAACTTTCCTCATTCAAAACATTGCTGAAAAGTCGTTTTCTAATTTTTCGATTTTTTTCCAAGGGGATCCCCTGCAAAATTGTGGGTTTTCCTAATTTTCGCACTTTTGCTCCATCTGATGGCCATAGCTCTGCCAATTTGTATCCGATCAGGAAATAAAGCACCATTTAGTAATCAGCGAACCCAAACGCGACTTTCCTCATTCAAAGCATTGCTGAAAAGTCGTTTTCTAATTTTTCGATTTTTTTCCAAGGGGATCCCCTGCAAAATTGTGGGTTTTCCTAATTTTCGCACTTTTGCTCCATCTGATGGCCATAGCTCTGCCAATTTGTATCCGATCAGGGAATAAAGTACCATTTAGTAATCAGCGAACTTAAAAGCAACTGTCCTCATTCAAAACATTGCTGAAAAGTCGTTTTCTAATTTTTCGATTTTTTTCCAAGGGGATCCCCTGCAAAATTGTGGGTTTTCCTAATTTTCGCACTTTTGCTCCATCTGATGGCCATAGCTCTGCCAATTTGTATCCGATCAGGGAATAAAGTACCATTTAGTAATCAGCGAACTTAAAAGCAACTTTCCTCATTCAAAACATTGCTGAAAAGTCGTTTTCTAATTTTTCGATTTTTTTCCAAGGGGATCCCCTGCAAAATTGTGGGTTTTCCTAATTTTCGCACTTTTGCTCCTTCTGATGGCCATAGCTCTGCCAATTTGTATCCGATCAGGGAATAAAGCACCATTTAGTAAACAGCGAACTTAAAAGCAACTTTCCTTATTCAAAACATTGCTGAAAAGTCGTTTTCTAATTTTTCGATTTTTTCCAAGGGGATCCCCTGCAAAATTGTGGGTTTTCCTAATTTTCGCACTTTTGCTCCATCTGATGGCCATAGCTCTGCCAATTTGTATCCGATCAGGAAATAAAGCACCATTTAGTAATCAGCGAACCCAAACGCGACTTTCCTCATTCAAAGCATTGCTGAAAAGTCGTTTTCTAATTTTTCGATTTTTTTCCAAGGGGATCCCCTGCAAAATTGTGGGTTTTCCTAATTTTCGCACTTTTGCTCCTTCTGATGGCCATAGCTCTGCCAATTTGTATCCGATCAGGAAATAAAGCACCATTTAGTAAACAGCGAACTTAAAAGCAACTTTCCTCATTCAAAACATTGCTGAAAAGTCGTTTTCTAATTTTTCGATTTTTTTCCAAGGGGATCCCCTGCAAAATTGTGGGTTTTCCTAATTTTCGCACTTTTGCTCCTTCTGATCGCCATATCTCTGCCAATTTGTATCCGATCAGGAAATAAAGCACCATTTAGTAAACAGCGAACTTAAAAGCAACTTTCCTCATTCAAAACATTGCTGAAAAGTCGTTTTCTAATTTTTCGATTTTTTTCCAAGGGGATCCCCTGCAAAATTGTGGGTTTTCCTAATTTTCGCACTTTTGCTCCTTCTGATGGCCATAGCTCTGCCAATTTGTATCCGATCAGGAAATAAAGCACCATTTAGTAAACAGCGAACTTAAAAGCAACTTTCCTCATTCAAAACATTGCTGAAAAGTCGTTTTCTAATTTTTCGATTTTTTTCCAAGGGGATCCCCTGCAATATTGTGGGTTTTCCTAATTTTCGCACTTTTGCTCCTTCTGATCGCCATATCTCTGCCAATTTGTATCCGATCAGGAAATAAAGTACCATTTAGTAATCAGCGAACCCGAAAGCGACTTTCCTCATTCAAAACATTGCTGAAATGTCGTTTTCTAATTTTTCGATTTTTTTCCAAGGGGATCCCCTGCAAAATTGTGGGTTTTCCTAATTTTCGCACTTTTGCTCCTTCTGATCGCCATATCTCTGCCAATTTGTATCCGATCAGGAAATAAAGTACCATTTAGTAATCAGCGAACCCGAAAGCGACTTTCCTCATTCAAAACATTGCTGAAATGTCGTTTTCTAATTTTTCGATTTTTTTCCAAGGGGATCCCCTGCAAAATTGTGGGTTTTCCTAATTTTCGCACTTTTGCTCCTTCTGATGGCCATAGCTCTGCCAATTTGTATCCGATCAGGAAATAAAGCACCATTTAGTAAACAGCGAACTTAAAAGCAACTTCCCTCATTCAAAACATTGCTGAAAAGTCGTTTTCTAATTTTTCGATTTTTTTCCAAGGGGATCCCCTGCAAAATTGTGGGTTTTCCTAATTTTCGCACTTTTGCTCCTTCTGATCGCCATATCTCTGCCAATTTGTATCCGATCAGGAAATAAAGCACCATTTAGTAAACAGCGAACTTAAAAGCAACTTTCCTCATTCAAAACATTGCTGAAAAGTCGTTTTCTAATTTTTCGATTTTTTTCCAAGGGGATCCCCTGCAAAATTGTGGGTTTTCCTAATTTTCGCACTTTTGCTCCTTCTGATGGCCATAGCTCTGCCAATTTGTATCCGATCAGGAAATAAAGCACCATTTAGTAAACAGCGAACTTAAAAGCAACTTTCCTCATTCAAAACATTGCTGAAAAGTCGTTTTCTAATTTTTCGATTTTTTTCCAAGGGGATCCCCTGCAAAATTGTGGGTTTTCCTAATTTTCGCACTTTTGCTCCTTCTGATCGCCATATCTCTGCCAATTTGTATCCGATCAGGAAATAAAGTACCATTTAGTAATCAGCGAACCCGAAAGCGACTTTCCTCATTCAAAACATTGCTGAAATGTCGTTTTCTAATTTTTCGATTTTTTTCCAAGGGGATCCCCTGCAAAATTGTGGGTTTTCCTAATTTTCGCACTTTTGCTCCATCTGATGGCCATAGCTCTGCCAATTTGTATCCGATCAGGAAATAAAGTACCATTTAGTAATCAGCGAACCCAAGAGCGACTTTCCTCATTCAAAACATCGCTGAAAAGTCGTTTTCTAATTTTTCGATTTATTTCCAAGGGGATCCCCTGCAAAATTGTGGGTTTTCCTAATTTTCGCACTTTTGCTCCTTCTGATGGCCATAGCTCTGCCAATTTGTATCCGATCAGGAAATAAAGCACCATTTAGTAAACAGCGAACTTAAAAGCAACTTTCCTCATTCAAAACATTGCTGAAAAGTCGTTTTCTAATTTTTCGATTTTTTCCAAGGGGATCCCCTGCAAAATTGTGGGTTTTCCTAATTTTCGCACTTTTGCTCCTTCTGATGGCCATAGCTCTGCCAATTTGTATCCGATCAGGAAATAAAGCACCATTTAGTAAACAGCGAACTTAAAAGCAACTTTCCTCATTCAAAACATTGCTGAAAAGTCGTTTTCTAATTTTTCGATTTTTTTCCAAGGGGATCCCCTGCAAAATTGTGGGTTTTCCTAATTTTCGCACTTTTGCTCCTTCTGATGGCCATAGCTCTGCCAATTTGTATCCGATCAGGAAATAAAGCACCATTTAGTAATCAGCGAACCCAAACGCGACTTTCCTCATTCAAAACATTGCTGAAAAGTCGTTTTCTAATTTTTCGATTTTTTTCCAAGGGGATCCCCTGCAAAATTGTGGGTTTTCCTAATTTTCGCACTTTTGCTCCTTCTGATGGCCATAGCTCTGCCAATTTGTATCCGATCAGGAAATAAAGTACCATTTAGTAATCAGCGAACTTAAAAGCAACTTTCCTCATTCAAAACATTGCTGAAAAGTCGTTTTCTAATTTTTCGATTTTTTTCCAAGGGGATCCCCTGCAAAATTGTGGGTTTTCCTAATTTTCGCACTTTTGCTCCTTCTGATGGCCATAGCTCTGCCAATTTGTATCCGATCAGGAAATAAAGCACCATTTAGTAATCAGCGAACCCAAACGCGACTTTCCTCATTCAAAACATTGCTGAAAAGTCGTTTTCTAATTTTTCGATTTTTTTCCAAGGGGATCCCCTGCAAAATTGTGGGTTTTCCTAATTTTCGCACTTTTGCTCCATCTGATGGCCATAGCTCTGCCAATTTGTATCCGATCAGGAAATAAAGTACCATTTAGTAATCAGCGAACCCAAACGCGACTTTCCTCATTCAAAAAATTGCTTAAATAAAGTTTTTTTCGAATGTATAAATTTTATATTTAAATTTTGAAAATATGCACCATGTAATATACATGCATGTAGAAAAGTAATCAGCTGATGCTTTGTGTTGCCAACTACCGAAAACAGTTTAATTTAATTGATTAAACCCTTGACTTGAATAAAAACGAGCACTTAGGATGAGAAATAAATTGTTGTAGAGTTTTTAACTTAGAAGGTTGTCCTGTAATCCCATCTAGACTGTATACATGGACTTGTGACCACCCACAGTCAGCTGTCAAACGGGTAGTTGGCAACGCGACTCTCCGCCACAGTGTGACTGTCAAAGCAAAGCGATAAAAAAAAGTTGTCTCCGCATTAAGAGCTCACAGGAATATTTTCCAGCATTTCGGTAGGTATTCCCCTCTAATACATATTTTTAAGCAACCGAAGGTTGTCAGAGACAGAGCTGGATTCGAGGATTAGCCAGGTGGCAGGGAAATACGCCTGGGTAATTCGATAATCAGTAAATGCTGGCAGCCAGCAGCTTACTTATGTAATTGTTGGGACCGAGGATTGCACCTGAATGTTGTGGTTTTTCGTTTCAGAAAATATGATAAGGGCACCGATAGTCAAGGCGCTGGGCGCTCTGGGCTCGCCCACACACCAGATTGCCAGCCGGGCGGTGCGCACCAGCGCCATAATGGCCCAGACGCCGGCGAAGGCGCCCGAGAAGATCGAGGTCTTTGTGGACGACATTCCCGTGCAGGTGGCCCCCGGCACCACCGTTCTCCAGGTAAGTCTTTAGTATTCATTTCTATAATGGTACTATATATATAATTTCTCTGTTCCCCAGGCTGCTGCCCAGATTGGCGTGGAGATTCCCAGATTCTGCTACCACGAGCGGTTGGCGGTGGCCGGCAACTGCCGCATGTGCCTGGTGGAGGTGGAGAAGAGTCCCAAGCCGGTGGCCGCATGCGCCATGCCCGTGATGAAGGGGTGGCGCATCAAGACCAACTCCGATCTGACCCGCAAGGCACGCGAGGGCGTCATGGAGTTCCTGCTGATGAACCATCCGCTCGACTGCCCCATTTGCGACCAGGGCGGCGAGTGCGACCTGCAGGACCAGGCCATGGCTTTCGGTTCCGATCGTTCCCGCTTCACGGACATTAACTACACTGGCAAGCGGTAAGGTCATCATTTTGCTTCCTTCTTCAAAAGAACTTACTTATTTGATCTTGTGCAGCGCCGTGGAGGATAAGGACATTGGACCCCTGGTGAAGACCATCATGACACGTTGCATCCACTGCACCCGTTGCGTGCGTTTTGCCTCTGAGATTGCCGGTGTTGATGATCTGGGCACCACTGGCCGTGGCAACGACATGCAAATCGGAACCTACGTGGAGAAGCTCTTCCTCACCGAGCTGTCTGGCAACGTGATCGATCTGTGCCCCGTGGGAGCTCTTACCAACAAGCCGTACAGCTTCGTGGCCCGTCCCTGGGAGATCCGCAAGGTGAGCAGCATCGACGTCCTGGACGCCGTCGGCAGCAACATTGTGGTCAGCACCCGCACCAACGAAGTTCTGCGTATCCTGCCCCGCGAGAACGAGGATGTCAACGAGGAGTGGCTGGCCGACAAGTCGCGCTTCGCCTGCGACGGTCTGAAGCGCCAGCGCCTGGTGGCTCCGATGGTGCGCATGCCCAATGGCGAACTCCAGGCTGTGGAGTGGGAAGGTGCCTTGATTGCCGTTGCCAAGGCTGTCAAGAAGGCCGGCGGACAAGTGGCTGGCATCTCCGGTCAGCTGGCCGATGTAGAGGCTCAAGTGGCGCTCAAGGATCTGATCAACAAGCTGGGCAGCGAAGCTGTGGCCACCGAGCAGGGCTTCATCGAAGGCGGCACCGATTCTCGTGCCAATTACCTGCTGAACAGCACCATTGCCGGTCTGGAGGAGGCCGATGCCGTGCTCCTAATCGGTACCAATCCCCGCTATGAGGCTCCTCTAGTCAACACCCGTCTCCGCAAGGCGTATGTCCACAACGAGCTGCAGATCGCCTCGATCGGACCCAATATCGATCTGTCTTACGAGCATGAGAACCTCGGCGCCGATGCCGCTTTGATCAAGGATGTCTGCTCTGGCTCGCACGCCTTCTCCAAGGTCCTGGAAGGTGCCAAGAAACCGGCCATCATCATTGGTGCTGAGCTGCTGGAGCGTCCCGATGGTGCCGCCATCCATGCTACCGTCGCCGAGTACTGCAAGAAACTAAAGAAGGGGGTGAGTTATTAGCGAATGAAAATTATGTCCGCATGACAGTAACACCTTCAAACTTCCTTGCAGGATTGGAATGCATTCAACGTGCTGCAGACCAACGCCGCCCAGGTTGGCGCTTTCGATGTGGGCTACAAGGCTGGCGTTCAGGCTGCCCTGAAGTCCCAGCCCAAGGTGCTCTTCCTGCTGAACGCTGACGCCGGCAAGGTGACCCGTGATCAGCTTCCCAAGGACTGCTTTGTGGTGTACATTGGATCGCACGGTGACAACGGAGCCTCCATCGCCGATGCCGTTCTGCCCGGAGCCGCCTATACGGAGAAACAGGCCATCTTTGTAAACACTGAGGGCAGGCCACAACAGACATTGGCTGGTGTCTCTCCTCCAGGCATGGCCCGTGAGGACTGGAAGATCCTGCGCGCCCTGTCCGAGGTTGTTGGTACGCCCCTGGGTTACGATAATCTGGATGAGCTGCGCACACGGCTTGAGGATGTGGCGCCGCACCTTCGTCGCTTGGGACAACTGGAGAAGGCTAGTGATGCCGGCAGTGCCAGCGCTCCCGTGAGTACTCCACCGGATATCCTTCGGAGGCGATTTGAACATTTTTTTCCCCCATCTTATTGCAGAGCAAATCCATCGGCGGCGGCCCCATCGATGTGAAGCTGAAGGAACTGAAGGATTACTTCATGACCGATGCCATTTCACGCGCCTCGCCCACCATGGCCAAGTGTATATCGGCGGTCAACAAACAGCAGAGGGATAACGAGGCCAAGGTGGCCGCGGCCGTCTAAACTACTAACTAATTAATGTTTTTTTTTAAACTCTGCTCTTCGATCTTTGCCCCCTCCACTTACTCGCGAACGGACAACAGACAGACAGCTGGCGGCACATGAGCAGGATGAGCGGTTGCAGGAGCTGGAAGTGGACCGGAAGCTGGAGCAGGTCCAGCGTCAGCACCAGCTTCTTGGCGCCCAGTTAAATGTAAATGAAAATGTCTTTGGAGTTGTTCAAAACAAAAGAAGTTATTCACTACGAAAAATAGGAAAACAAAATAAAAATGTAATAGTAAATATAGAGGCATTATCCAGTATTTCCTTCTCGCTCGATTTTATGTCGGAAACTATATAGCTGACGATATTGTGTCCAAAAATACCCAGTGGAATAGGTCTCTGATGCACTGTCCACAATCGGAGCATGCGCTTATTTTAAAGAGAATTTTTAAATTTAATTTAACAAATTAAACTATAAAATAATTCCTGAGAAATTATTAAAACATGATTTAAATGAACTCTGGGTACTAGGTTCGCATAATCCAGCAGTAAGCGATTTTCGATGCTTTCAAGCTAAAAAATTTATTGAGCTTGAAAAATGCCCACAATCCACCTGCTCGGCTTCCGAAAAACTAGGCGCTCAGAAATTAGTAGGAGGTTGTTAAAGAAAGGTTTTCAAAAAACGTAGTGTGACCTGGTATTGAACTTAATACTCAAAAAATACCAACATAACCATGTTTAAAATTGGCGGGCATTTAGTATTATTGTAAAAGGTCACACTATTAAGCTTCACAATTCAAATGAAGTGTTATCGTTATCGAAAGAAATTACCCAACAATACTTTTAAAATTTAAAAACATCTTTTGTTGGTGAAAAATTATATTTTTCTACCATACATTTAGGGGATTTCATGCTTAATTTCATTGGGTTAAACAAATTCAATTTAAAAATTTGGGTGTTCATATCGGCGGCGCAGCAGTCGAGGGATGGGTGGGAGATCCTCGCCGGATGGAGTCCACGAAGTGATCTCTGGTCATGTCCGTTGCCTCCCAGCGCCTCCCATCCAGCATAACTATTGTTTTTGGGGTGTGGGTGTTGGGGTTAATTGCGGAAACTAAAACGGAACTGTTGAACGCTCTTCTCTTCAACAACCATTCATCGAGAGGCGGCGGAGCAATTAGAGCGGCGGCGTCCCAGGCGGCTGGCTGAGCTACAGATCCCTACCGCTTAGCTGCAGCAGGTGGCGGGCGTGGGGTCCAGACCCGAGCGCTTGGTGATGTTCAGCCGGGTGAACTCCTCGGCGGTGGTTGGGTGAATGCCCACAGTGTTGATCAGCGTGTTGATGGTCAGGCCAGACTTCAGGGCGGCGGCGAATCCCTGGATCACCTCACCGGCCACTGGTCCGAGGTAGTGCAGACCGTATACGCGCTGATCGCCATTGCGCTCGGCCACAGCCTTCAGGTAGCAATATCGCACACTCTTCTGGGGGATGAAGAACTCCGTGGGCTTGTAGTAGCCGTGGAAGACCTCCACCTCATCGGCGCCGTACTGCTTGACAGCATCCTCCTCGGAGAGACCCACGCAGGCGTACTCCAGGGGCGTGAAAACAGTGGTGGCCACATCAGTGTAGTCCATGCGCTGGGTAGATCCACCGTACAGGCGACGGGCCAGCAGACGACCGGCCAGAATGGCCACGGGCGTAAGCTCGGGCTTGCCGTAGATGATGTCGCCAACGGCATAGATGTTAGCCACATTGGTGGCCTCCTGCGAGTCCACGGGGATCTTGTCCTTCTGTGTGTTGACGCCAGCATTTTGCAGGTTCAGATCGTCAACGAGACCCTTGCGACCGATGGCCCACAGAACGGTGTCGAAGGTGTCCTCGGCCTCCTCGCCGGTCTCCACATTCTTGAACTTGACCAGCAGCTTGCCGTCGGCCTGCTTCTCCACGGACAAGGGCACAGTTTTGCGCAGGAAGGGAATGCCGCGCTCCTCCATCGAGGAGGCCACCAGCTCGGCCATCTGCTGGTCGAAGCCGCGCAGCACAATGGAGCGGACCATGACGGTGGGCTCGTAGCCGAGACCCTTCAGGAAGCCAGCACACTCCAGGCCAATGTCTGTAAAGGATTACAGTTTAACAAGAAAGGAAAGCTAACTTCGGGCGGAGCCGAAGTTGATATACCCTTGCAGCTAAAACCGGATATATATCGCAAACATCGGATATAGTTGGCCGATCCTTATGATTACATCATAATAAAACCAATTAACTAAAATAAAAAATCTAAAAAAAATGTCCCAAACTTCTATCTTCAAAAACACGAAAGTTGGGTCATTTCCGATCGTTCAGTTATATGGCAGCTATAGGATATAGTCGGCCGATCCTATTGAAATTCGGTAGGATGGATCAACTGGCCAAAAATATAATCTGTATTAAGTTTCAGCTTTCTATCTTCAAAAACACGAAAGTTGGGTCATTTTCGATCGTTCAGTTATATGGCAGCTATAAGATATAGTCGGCCGATCCTTATGAAATTTGGCATGTCGTAATGTTTTGCCAAAAATAGCTTTCCTGTAAAATTTGAACTCTCTAACTCTAAAAACACCAAAGTTATACCATTTCCGATCAATCCGTTATATGGCAGCTATAGGATATAGTCGGCCGATCCGGGCCGTTCCGACTTATATACTGCGTGCAAAGGAAAGAAGGGTGTGTGCAAAGTTTCAAGACGATAGCTTCAAAACTGAGAGACTAGTTCGCGTAGAAACAGACAGACAGACGGACAGACAGACGGACAGACAGACGGACAGACGGACAGACGGACAGACGGACATGCTCATATCAACTCAGGAGGTGATCCTGATCAAGAATATATATACTTTATAGGGTCGGAGATGTCTCCTTCACTGCGTTGCACACTTTTGGACAAAATTATAATACCCTCTGCAAGGGTATAAAAAAATGAAATTTTCGTAAAATTTGAGGCTTCACTTACATCCAGCACCCACGACGAGGGTCTTGCCGGGCTCGCGATCCAAACTGAAGATATCATCGCTGGTGATACCGTATTCAACGGCACCGGGGATGTCCGGGTAGCGGGGTCGTCCTCCAACAGCAATGACAAAGGTCTGGGCGGTAATGGTGCGCTCGCCGCTCTTCAGCTTGGCCAGCAGCGTGTGGGAGTCGACAAAGGAGCCCAGTCCGTTGATGTACTCCACCTTCTTGTCGCGCAGGTCGACACGAGTCACCCAGTTGACGGACTTGATGTGATTCTGTACGGACTGCACCAGCTTGCCCCAGTCGGGCTTGATCTTTTCGTCCACGCTCCAGCCGTAGGCGGCCGCCTCGTGGACAGCCTCGCCGAGGAGCGAGGCCTGGTGCATCAGCTTCTTGGGGATGCAACCGACGTTGACGCAGGTGCCACCGACGCCCCATTTGGTGCCCAGAGTGGGTGTGGGCTTCACAAAGTCCAGACAGGCCACACGAGCTCCATTGAGGACCGCCTCCTTGGCGCAGGCCAGGCCAGCTGAGCCGCCGCCAATAACAATCAGATCATAGTCATAAGAACCTGAAAGAAAACCAAGGTGTTACTCTGGTTAGTCTGACTAATCCTTATCGCCCTCTTGGTAAGCCCCATCCTGCCTTGGTCTGCCGACTGCTGGCGCAGTCGAATATCCAAGTAAGCGGAGCGGTAGATGCTCCTCCGGTGCGGCGGTTCACCTTCCGGCAACTGGGAAGCGGGCACAAACTCGAATAGATGCATCGGTCGGGTAGCAAAATGGAACTGAAGGGAAGCCCTGCTGCACACTGGTGGGTAATCCCAGAAATCTGCAATCCTTTCGAGATGCCAGGCAGCGATAGTCGTGCCACATGCCACAATCTAACTGGAGCAATCATCTGTGACACGACCCCCAGTCCCGCCTCCATGTCCGCCCACGTCAAATGGTTTACTTTTTCTTTTGCTTTGACCCACCGATACCTTTTTGCCATGGTTACCGGCCCCGCAACCAGTTGGCACAACAGAACCCAGTCCTATCGCTGGGGATCTATGACTCCCCTTTGGTGTTTGATTCCATCAAACCGGTCCCTGGGGGGGGCGACCTGTTCCCTGATGAACAATTTTCATTATCGTCACGGTGCAATTAGTTGCAGAATTGAGTGATGACGACACACCGTGATGATGCCATTATAATCGGAGATGTGTTTATGTTTGTCGAGCCAGTGATAAGTGGGAGATTGCATGTTGTTGTGGCGAAATTACAAGTGCCAGAAGGGTTTTCCAATTCTCGAACATTCCTCGAACGTTTTTCAAGAGCATCTTACGAAATTAACAGATGTACCAGTTAGTCCAGACAGGTGAGATGGAATCTTTAGGGAAAGTAAAAGTCTAATCGTGAAGTCACTTCCTTAAACTGCAAAAGGCCAAGTCATCTTTAATCTTGGGGGAGAGGGGAGTTTTGATAATAATATATAGTTTGTAGAAGCATTATCTCTAGTAGTCTTCTAGGAAACATCGAGAACTATTCATTTGCCCTTCACTGTACTGGACAGAGACGGGTTGTGTGTGAAAGCTGATGGCTGATGGCCGACGATGACGATTGCCGATGACGTTGCAAATATGCGAAACAAATGCCGGCAAAAATAAAAGCCAAAGCCCAAATCCAAAGGCCGCTACGTGCCGCAGAGTAGGAAACTCGATAAGAGCCACCAAGGCCCGGCCCCAGGGCATTGGGGGGGTGGAGTGCCCTAACGGTGGTTATTAGTTATTGCATAATGGTGGTAACACAGAAAAACAGTACTCGAAACCAGAAACCGTAAACCGATGATCGACTTGCAAAGCGATCGCGTTGCCAACCAACGCGTTTTTAGAGGGGGTGGTGGTGGGCGGATGGCATATGGCATATCGATAAACGCTACAACCCCAACTTACCTCCCTTGGTCCTCTGCTTGCGCACTGGCTGATCGTACATGGCTTGGCGATCGCAGTGGGGATGCTGGAAGCCCGGCACATTGGCCGCCCCACCAGCACCCGTTGGGCCAGAGCTGCCGGTACTGTCCCTGGAACCTCGCGGCTGATTGCTCATTTCTCTTCGTTGTTGTGTGGAACTGGGACCGAAATTTGAGCTTGAGGCGGCGGCGTTGTGTCGATGTTTTAGAATGCCAGTTGTCGGAAACGGTGACGGAGACGACGTAAATATCGTCGAGCACTGCCGGACGACAGTTATTGAGAATCTCGAGTTCCACAGGTGGAGCGACATTATTTTTCGCGTCGCACCAGGCCAATTACAGACAAAAATAACAAGCAATTAGCGAAAGTTGCAGAACTTGGTGGGAAGAAAACAAGTCACTCCGCTGATTTCTACCGGAATGGCTGGGCATGCTGCATGCGAAGGTGGTGGGCAGCGGGAATCGCCGATAAACGGCTACGTAACAGAAGCAGCGAATCAGCAGCAGCAGCAGACGCGATGCGAATGCGCGTGCTAAGCAAACCGAGCGATAGCTTTTGAATATTTGCAATTATTTGCATACATTTTCCGGCACGGAACATTTCCACCTCCATTCCAACAGGCAGTTGTTGTTTTCGGGGGCGTACAGATGGCAGGCATTCAAAACATTTTCCAGGTTCCGCACGTTTGGCTACCCTTGGTATCGATAACTCGCCTACAGTGGCTGGCTGGCAACACTGGCAACCGGCTGCCGACCGTCAAAATTAGTTTTTTTTCGTGTGTTTTTGTTGCGTTTTGTTACGCCAATAAACGCCGAGAATAGATAAGCCAGCGTATTTCTAATAAAGCGCTGGTGAAATCCATACGGTGAGGTACCACAGTCACCTTAGGCCAGCCGCCGCGTACGTTTATTGCACCCCTTACACACCTCATTAGTTGGCCTTAATCTCGAGTGCCAGAGAGCCAGGCGAAGATTAGATTCGGAGAGATCACAGACGACGTCGCACTAGGCTCGACATGAACTCCATTCTAATTACGGGCTGTAATCGTGGCCTGGGCCTGGGCCTGGTGAAGGCCCTTGTCGGACTACCGCAGCCGCCGCAGCATCTCTTCACGACCTGCCGGAACCGGGAGGTGGCCAAAGTAAGTGTCTAGTGTTTATCCATCCATTGACCCCTAAGCGGTCAAGACCCATGACTCACGCCCCGAGAAACTACGCGAACAATCTAACCAATCCATCCGGCTATTCACCCATCATTCGGTACTAATGCTAATCCGCTCTTTCGCGAACCCCGCACTCACCTGGTACGGGCGCCATTATTTGTGTTGGTATTTTATCGAGGTGTTGCAGGCTAAGCGACAGGATCAGTACTAAGTAGTAAATAGTGCAGCAAGACGGTGGCAAGCTCGACTCGGAGAGAAACAGTAACTGTGATGGTAATCACCAAATGCCGCGCGACAGCTATCGAAACGGCGAAACGCAGATGGGGAAATAGGGCGCTAACGTTTGTGCATTAGCTTTTGTAGCTTTCTTGCAGCTTTTCGCGGAATTAGTGTGACCGAGCGAAATAAATGTGAGGAAATTGGCAGGGCTGCCACCTTTTTCCATTTTATTGCCAGATTAGCTCTTTATTTAAATATTGGAAACTCCTGGCCATTATTATTTTAAATTTATTGGATATATTGTATATTCTTTCAATTCTTAGAAATTATCCATGCTTGGTTTCTCTCTGTATAATGACTGTTTAAATCCTCTTTGATAAATGTTATGTGGCCTTAATGAATGTTTTGTGAAATTCATTATTTTAATTTAGATATTCCAGAATTTTCCAAGAACTCTACTTCCCCGATTTTGTTTAATAATATTGTTGTATTTCTATCCTAACCGGTTCAACGGGCAGGGAATCGATAAATGCATCCGATAGTCCTGATGGTTTCCCGGCTAATAACTGTTTTATTTAAATTTGAATTATTTTTATTCTCAGGAACTGGAAGAACTGGCCAAGAATCACTCAAATATCCATATCCTGGAGATTGGTAAGAATAGTCAGGTATAAGCCACAAAAATGTATTAATGAAATATGTGTACTTCCCCTCTTTAGATCTGAGAAACTTTGATGCCTATGATAAGCTCATTTCTGACATCGAAGGCGTGACGAAGGACCAGGGCCTGAACGTACTCTTCAACAACGCCGGTGTGGCGCCCAAATCAACGCGGATTACCGCCACGCGATCCCAGGATCTGATAGAAACTCTGCAAACCAACACCGTGGTGCCCGTCATGCTGGCCAAGGCCTGTCTGCCGCTGCTGAAGAAGGCTGCCAAAGTGAACGGCTCCCAGCCGATGGGTGTGAACCGAGCCGCCATCATCAACATGTCCTCTATCCTGGGATCCATTCAGGGGAATACGGATGGTGGAATGTATGCGTACCGCACGTCCAAGACGGCACTAAACGCGGCCACCAAATCGCTGAGCATCGATCTGTATCCGCAACGCATCATGTGCGTGAGCCTGCATCCTGGATGGGTGCGCACAGACATGGGCGGTAGTAATGCGCCACTAGACGTGGAAACCAGCACAGACACGATTGTGAAAACGCTCCTAGAGCTGGGTGAGCCCCAGAACGGCAGCTTCATCAACTACGATGGCTCCCCATTGCCTTGGTGATTGGGAATGAACTAGGAGAACCTTTTGCATTTTATGTTTTCTTGTTAATCGTTGTTGAATAAACTTGGTGCTGCACCATTGGAGTGCCTTGAAATCGAACGCAGTTTATGATAAATAATAAGGCGCCATTGCAGCCTCTTTCGTTTCGTTTGTATTTTTTTTTAAATCTTTTTACTTAATTGATTTACATAGAAAAAATATGTATTTTCATTCCCGCCCAGAACACAAGGATTTGATTTGGGGTTTCTAACCTACGAACTATCATCTACGGTCTGATCTTGGCTTGGTGTTATTTCGCCCGTGGTGGAATGATAGCCACTGGCACCTTGGACGGATTGGCAATCAGCTCAGAAGCCAATGGCGGCGGTCGGCTCACATTCCCTCCTGGCGATTCAACTCCTCCAATGCCGCTAAATCCACTAGCATCGGCCATCCCGGCACCGGCGCCTACCCCGAAGCTACCGTGATTCTGGACTGGAAGTTGACGTTGGGGCGGCACCATGGCCACTGGGCGTGGCGAGCCCTGATCAAGAGCTGGAGCTGGGAAATTTGATTGTGGTTGTTGATACTGTTGTCCGCTCAACGGATGGGCCACGCGTTTGCGTAGATCGAGGCGTGGGCGACGCGTATCGCCACCGCTGGCCATTGCACCGCCACTAATTGGTGGCGGATCGTTCCAGCCTGGTGTCAAAGAGCCTGTGGAGCGGTGGATGTGAATGAACCGGAAGAACAATGACTTGCCACAAAAAGAAACATACCTGGGAAAGCTCCGGTTGGGGCTATATTCTGCCCTGTTGGCGGTGGTGGTAGAAGCGGCGAATTAATCGGTTGGGTTTGGCCAGAGGGCAGGCCTGTTGGCGGAATCGAAGCCATGTTACCTGATGCTGGTGGTGGTCCTGCTGCACCAGCAAATCCTTCTCCTGGTGGCCAGAAGCTCATCGGGAATTTCGGACAGTTGCTTTCCTTTCTACGACGTGCGGCAGTGTGACCGATCCCCGAATTCTCAGCAAGAGTTATCGTCGCGCCAGTTATCGATAAAATTCAGTATTTTCAAATCAAATATGGTATTTTCAATATACGTTACTTTTTAAATTTGAACTTGAAATTATTTCTTATGACTTTTATGGTTTATTTTTTGCAGTTAGCAGCGATATTAGGCCGTATATTTTAAAATGGAATGCTTTTACGTTGCTTGAAACTTTTTGCTTAAAACTGTTGTAAAATTTCGTAAAAAAGAAAGAATATATTTTGACAAACTGAAGAGCCAGCTAGGTTATTCGGTTTTTCTTTCAAAATATAGAACCCAATTGATTTTTAATTGATGCTAATTAGTGTATTTGTTATTCATACCTCGGATTAGTTAGACTTTTCTCTTTTGTCGAGCAGCCGGGACAGAGTTATTTGTAAAACAATAATAATTGCATTAAGTCGCGCTTGCAGGGCTTCGTGAATGAGTAGCTGAGGGGATGAATAGATGAGTGGACAAGTGGATGAGTGGACGAGTGGACAAGTGGACGAGTGGGAGACTCGACGATCTGGTGGTCAGTTGATTGGTTGCTTCTATGGCCTCTTACAATAGCCGCTGTCACACGCACAAGAGTCTTAAGTCTAATCTTGTGCAGTGGCCAGCAGCTGCAATAAGCACCGTTAACGCTCGTTGAAACACTGGAGGATTATTTCAGGAAATCGTTGTTCAGGATATAGAACAGGATATAAGTATGTAATGTCGGTGGCAAAGACAAGTGGCAAATGTCAGGTGGCAGGGAGGTCGGAAGCGAGTTGGCGAGGTCACTAACTGGCTGCTGAATAAATGATGATGATGTCCCAACATATGGTCGAAATTCCAGGCTAACGGGGTGGGCTTTACAGCACGTTTTTGAATATTATATGGCAAGGATTATATGGGTCGAGTTTGGCTGCCGGGCTGTCTGGATATTGATTTTCAATTGGAAGCCATCGACAATATTTTCTCCATCGATAGTCTTGCAAATAGCCCAAAAATTGCTCATATTTTCTATTATCCTTGGCACTTGATAATAATAATCACTGGCAAAAAAAAATGCATGATGATCCTTTAATTGGCACTTGAAAAAAAATCTTCCTTATTTTTTAACTTTATTTATTTTTAATATAGTTTTTTAATATTTTTCTTGTTTTGAGGCATGGGCTCCTTGAAGGAGTCCTGCCACTGATGATTGTTGTCGCTTAATTAACGGTATTTAACTGAGACATTGTTCTGGCCGCCGTTCAGCTTTTATAGTGGAAATACAGGTGGTGGCAGAAGCGTCAGCGTTAACGTCGCCGTCGACATCGGCAGCGAGGGATGCGAACCTGTTCCAAGTCTTTTTTTTTTTTCGAAGACTTATATGTGTGTGCGTGTCGTGTGTGTAATATTATTAGGGGGCATTATAGTGTGTGCGAATGTGGGGAGGGAAAAGGAAAAAATGTGCTGCCTACTTTCAGGTCGGCGTTGAAAACCTACAACCGGAGCGGAGGAAAACCCCAAAAAAGAAGAAGAAGAGAATGAACGGCTAACGGTAATGGTAACGGCGGCGGTAACGGCACATTTCCAAAAGCAAACGTGCCACACCAGACATTGAGGCAGGCTTTATTTTATTTGCATTTACCATAGGTGTGTATGTGTGTGTGTTTGTCTGTGTTTTTTTTTTGTATTTTATTTCTTACAATTCCTTTTATTTTTTTTTCGTCCACGGGGTGTTTGAACCTGTGAAGCTATACCCGAAGCCCCTTTTTTTTCCAACAGAGAGAGAGAGAGAGAGGGAGTGGGGGGGTTGGAAGGAAATATGATCCGTTCCGATCCGGAGCCGGAGCCGTAAATATGCTATTGCAACTGCAACTGTGTAACTGTCGAATCACTGGTGGGCTTTCATCCCCCATTTTGACCATTACACTGCCCCCACCACCCACAACCCACCCCCTAACCACCTACATCGTAACCCCCACCGAGGGCGTTAAAAAATTAAATAACATTTTTCTATGGGCACTTTTATGGCATCTAGGTTTGGAATGCTTCGTTGCTCAGCGCCCGTACAAAAGTACTAAAAAAGTGCTGCCCTGCCCCATATAGTATATTTGCTTTTTGTGGGGAATCTCAACAAGCTAACGGTATAGGTAATGGTGGAGCTTAGGCGGCAGTATCAAGTGACAGATTGTCTGCGGCAAGGAGGCCACTAACGATCAGTCGATTGCCGTCGTCTTTCTCGGGAAACCATAATTTCCGAGACGGAAAACTGTCATTGGGATTGTATTTAAAAATAAAAAAAAAATTAAGAGAACCTAAAAAAATAACTATAACTAGTTACTAAAATATTTAGTAAGCGATTGGCATTAAAAGGTATTTAAGTATCCTTTTTTGAAAATCTGATTTATTATTAATTGGCAAGTGATTAAGGACTTTAAATGGTTTAAAACTAAGTATAAAGATTAGTTTTAACTAGTTTAGGGTCTAAACTATGTTTTAATTATTTAATAACCTTAACCTTTACAAAAACCCTATTTTAAAATTCCAATTGCAAATCCAATTATAAAAACAAATTCAAAACTTTTCAAATACAATTTAATTGAAAATTATCCAACACTTAAGTTTCCAGGTCCTTCAAATTACCGTTAGACCGTTTGAAGCAATTTTAAGGATAATGGCAGGCGCACTTATGTCTTGGAAACTCTTGGAAAATGGCAAGAAAATGGCGCATTTTCAAAGTTGATTTCAATCAATATTCATGAAATAACGTTGTAATTAAATGTCCACACACACACACACATACACATCGGTTAGGCAGGATCATGTGTGCGCGTCACACGTGTCCTTTGCAGCGCCACAAGTGCGACTGAAACAGAGACACAGAAAGAGCCAGCGAGGGCCAAAGAGCAGCGACCTTCGCTACTACGTCACAAGATAATCGAGGGAATTGAGAGGAGCGCCCTTTTTTGGGGGGGGGCGGAAAGGAATTTGCAAAAACAAAAAAATATATATATTTACATATATATATATGTATATATATACAAATTCTTGGTAAAGGAAAATGCAAATGGGATAGCTGGGAGGGGCGGGTGGAGCCGTGTTTTGCTTCTAAATATAAATGCCCCCGAAAATCTAGGACACTCCGCAGACGCAACGCCCCTGCTCCTTTTCTTCTAGTTTCACTTTAAAAAAGGGTTGAGGATTCTTGAATTTATGGGAATTTTTCTATATTTCTAGCCACTAATTTTCAGCAATAAAAATTACAAAAATATTAAATATTGTGTGTCCTGTGTTAATGGGGCTTAAAATATAATGATAATATTGAAACTTACCTAGTTCTATAATTGTAAAATGTAAAAATGTAAAAAAGATATAAAAACTAACTGAAATTAAGTCGAATAGTTATTTTATAAGCTAAATAATAAAAAAAAAGGATTTCATTCTTGATTAAAATGTTTATAATAACATTTAACCATAACATAGAAAAGAACTGAATATTTTATTTAAGAAAAAGGGCTTTTAGCATATCTAAAAATTATAAAGTTATATAATTTAAAAGTTGATGATTTAAAAAGTATTTTAAATCTTTTACCATTCTTTTCTGCTTAAAATAAATAAAACCTTGAACTAAGGTTTAAATAATACAAAAGCCTCAATACATTGGTGTTTATATTCTTGTTCTTCTCATTCTATTCTATTCTCATTCATTCTATTATATTCTATATTCTATTCTTCTATTCTCATAAAAAAATAAAGATAACAGAAATCATAATTTAGTAATTTTCAGTAAACTACTTTGTTAAATTTCAATTTAAAATTCTCAATTAAATTTAATTTTACATTTTTTTGTAACAGTGCCTTTCTTGTTTATGCCCACCCCCCATGTCTTTAATATGCTCCAACCTCTCTTGGTGCCCCTCCTTTCACCCCCACTGGCAGCTGCTCCTTCTCATCTTGACGGGGACTTCGGGCCTCCGTTCGGCTCCACTTCGGAGCGACTTCGCCCTTCGGCACTGGGTTACTGGGTCTGTCAAGCGGCGTTCGGCGCTCGCCACCCGCAGCATCTGCGACTATGACGTCAGCAGTGGCGGGTAAATGGCCTCTGCAGGCTCGTCACATGTTGCTGGGCCGCCCAGCAGCCGCCCAGGCCACCCACCAATCCCCGCAGCCTCCCAGGAACTAAAAGCAGCCAAAGAGACTCAACAATGTTTGGGCTGCCCCTGAAAGTAGGCAGCGTTTTTTTTTTGAGGTTTCTTTGTGATTCTTTAAGGATATTAGGTTTAAGGCTTGAAGTTTAAGGAAGTTTTAGGATATTTAATGAGAGGAGTAGTTATAATATTACAATTTTCTAACTAAAAATCATTTTTTTACTAAAAAGCTTTTTATTAATATCAGCTTTTTCTTTTAAAGTTTTGTTAATATTGAAATATTGAATTGAAATGTATTGAAGAATTTGTGTTCTTGTGCTCATATACACGAAATAAAAGCACAGTCTATTTATGATATTTTTTCCAGTATAATATAATAATAATTATAAAGATTAATATTTTAAGTTTGTGGAAACGAAAAATACTCGTTTCGGAAATGAAAACTATAAAGTTTTCATATCCTTAAATCTTTATTTGTATATCTCTATACAATATATAGCCATTTCTAAAGCTTCTTATAACGTCTTCTAATTATTCTTATAAGCGGCACAATTTTTTAATTAGAATTAATTAAATTGAGTATTTAAAAATTTAAAGTTTAAGAAAAAAGCCTTCTCCTTCTAGATGTTACTTATATTCTAAGAAAGTCCTTTGAAGAAACTGTATTATAACCTTTTAAAAACCTGGTTTAAGTTGAACAAATATATAAGTATAACTAGCTTACTAATATTTAATAAAATAATTCTCTACAATAAATAAAAACACATTCTTATTTTATAAAATACTTCTTTGGATCTTTAGGGTTTCAAGCTCTTTTAATTGTAAGTTTTACCTTTAAAGTTTATGTTTAATATTTGATTCATTTACCAAGTTTACTTCATACATCTTTCACACATATATTAAATTAATAAAATTAAGTATTATTTATACTGTTGAGCTTATCTGCCCCACGGACGAG